TTCTATTAGAGACACATATTTCTATGTACTGGGGCGGGGAGACTTTTAAAATGAGCTTGTATTGGCATATAATTTGCATGAAAACAGAGACTTGGCTTTCTATCCTGGAGTGGATCTTCAAGGATCACACAAACGTACTCTGACTATTCTTTCCTAGTAAAAGAATTAAGAATTTTTTCTCCCCCTTCCCCTCTGTACCATGTTGCAAGTCAGAAAAATCTGCATGACACTTGGACTGTTTTTTTAACCATTTTCATAATAATTGAAGCTTTTGGTGTTATGTATATGTTATTCCTTTAATGAAATAGTAATATTAACCTTAGGGAGCTTCTTTAGAATGCTAACAAATTATTTTCTATGCAAGAATATTCTTTAACTTAAAAGTCATATTGACAGCAAAGCTACTGCCCACTAATTCTTAGGGAAATATGTACATCCCTCTTAGTGAAGCCAGAAGTCAGTGTTTACCAATCTTAATAAAAAAGACTGTGGTGGTAATAGCCATGTGAGAGTGTGTTGTAAGGAAAGGGTAGCAATTGTGACCCAGCCTGGTATAGGCTCGATGAGGAAAACTTCTAGTCCTCCAGACGGCAACTATGGCAGAAAGTGGAGGAAGACCTTATCGAGCTTCACAGTGGTGATAGAGAAAAAGGTGAGTAACAGATGAATTTCCTGGTCACCTGAGACACTGTTGAAAAGCACAGTTTTGCAGACGGTCAAAGTTTGATTAGAACACTCACTAGTAATTGTTATGGGGGCACAGGATGTGCTTCTGCTGGACTCTTAAAGCCAGGTGCATAAAAGCACTAGAAAACTTTCTATACCAATGTTTTTGGTTTAGAAGTTAGGAAAAAAGGTTTGAGTATGCAGGTAGGACAAAAGTAATGTTCTGTTTTACAAGCCAAATCTTATTTTAGGTATTCAGAAACATTTACAGCTCTTGAGATACATGGATAGCATTTGTGAGTTGTGGTGAAAACAGATTCATTTTGTGAAATAAAAGATTTTTCATTTTGGAAAGTATTTGAGGAAATGGGAATAGGAGACAAGTACATGAAGAAAATCCATGAATGTACATGATAAATAGCTAGAGAATTTCTGAAAAGCAGGAAGATAGTTCTTTGTTCTTGTTGTTAAAAGTTCTTGTTGGACTGGTCTCTTTGGCAATTTGTGTCTGCAACGCAAAAGTACAGTGAGCAAGGTCTCCATTGTGTTTCCCATTGCCAGGGCACTGTGTTGCAGAGATGCAAGTGCACTATTGTCACTTCCTTTTTGTGGCATTGTTAAAAAAACTTTGGCCTTCAACCTAAAATACTAAAAAGTAATCTGACCGAAGCTATTTAAAATGATCTCTTACCAGCTTTGAACCAGTTAGTGCAACAGAGCAGTGACTTGTCTACTGTAATGAAAGTTGGAAGTTTGGCTGGAGACTTGAATAACAAAAATGACTTGTCAGTTGACTTTGCATTTATTGTTCTTGGTTGTAAATTGATGGGGATCTCTAAAGTAGAGATGTTTGACCTTTTAATTTGCATATAGCTGGAACACAGTTGTGTGGGTTGTGTGTTTTTTTTTTTTTTTTTTTCCCCCCCCCCAGACCAAAAGTGCTGTTATCAATGAAAACTCAATTAACTTTTATTTTCGGGCTTGGCCAGATGTCTTGCCTGTAGACTGCATCTGGTGGTGCAGATGAGTCCTCAGCCCTGGCTGCCCGGGTATCAGCTCTGCATGTTTGATGGCTCTGTTAGAGCTTGCTCAGTACCTGCTGCTGCAGTGCAAGTACAAAGTGCGGCAGGAGGTTGTTTGAAATGTTCTCTTAGCAACCCTTGATGAACAAATCATATAATTTCCAGCTGCAAACCTGGGAGTTCATTTCTGTGTATGTTTATTAGCTACATGTATGGTTCCTGGAAAATGATTGTGTTCATCAACCTGCATGTACAGTTCTCTGTTTCATACCGTTCTTGAAGTAGCTATTTTACCGAAGTAAACATTAACGGAGGAAAAATCCAGCTCAAGCTGAGATATCTCGTTTAATGAAAATGAAGATTAGATGCAGATTTTTTATTTTGGTTTAACTTTTTCATTTCCACTGCAAATGTAGGCAGCGTGAGCACTTACATCATGTTACTGAGACATAAGTAAAATAATGTTCTACATTTTTGTAGGTCACTTGTAGCAGTTTTTCCCCACCCTTTGCAGTTAGAGCACTGGAATAATTTTAAATGTTCCTGTCTGGAAAAGGGGTGTGTTGAGTGATGCTGACTGAACTGTTATATACCAGTATTTCATTTAATTTCCCCTGAAGTAAGGGAAATGGCAGGTGAATTAAATGTAGCTCGGTGTTTGCTGATGGATAGAATATGAATTTATGAGCGATAGCATATGCCTTTTTTAGGGGACCTTTTTATTTTTAAGAAGATAAGTAAAGTGCAGTTCTTCATTACTTTGCATTGAAAACTAGTATTTTGCCAAAAGCGTCTTTACACCTCTGTCTCATTAAATATGACTGCTATAGAAAAAGTAAGCATGTAATTTTAAAGTGTGTTTTACTTTTTTGAAGTATATTTTGATATTTTTCCCCAAAACTGTCTTGCAGAGTGAATGTTTTCTCTGTTTGCAAAATGTGATGGAAGCTGATGTTATGTATACTTGTAAACTAGTAATATATAGTTTTAACTGAACAAAGCCTTCCTGTTTTTGCATTGCTTCTCCCTGGTATCTCTTCAGAGATTCAGAGATTATTTTTGTGTTAGGTCTTAGATTTTTTATTTGAAGCACTTCAAATATCTTGGTGGCTTTGAGACAGGTAGTATAGAAGTGAATAATAAGTTATATTGTTTTATGATTAATATTTTTATGTCTAAATGTTACTTTAAGGGTTGCTTTATAGATCTTCATTCAATGAATGTCCTTTTGTCAGTAAATCTTGTTCTAAAAGCAGATCAGATACAAATTAGGGGGCTTCTTTGACCATTTTTTCAAGTCAGTATTTCTTTGCTTGAGTATTTATTTCTGTGAACGTGACTTTGAAAACTTTAATCCTTTGTGGTTACACTGATAAATGTAGTTTGCAAGAAGCGATTTGAAAGAAAAAAAAAAAGTAAATGAACCATATGTGGGTGACAGAACATTGGGTTAGAGCCTGATGGCAGTTGTATTCCACCCATATCACTGCAAGTTCTAATTAAAGGTGTCACTTTTTCCAAATTTCAAAGTTACTTTTGTGCTTGTTTTGAATGGCATACACTAGCACAACAGCTGGTTCTAAAATTCTGTGCATGTTGAGCGCTACTCGGCAACGTGCCTTAGATGTTCGTGCTGTGTTTCACTGATACTCATCAGCTGCTTATATTTGGTACAACTCTTCAGTTGTGTGATTTTCTAAATAAGCTTCTGCTTTTGTTTCCAGTCCCCAGGAGGAAGATATGAAATTAAAGCAAGAATTGGAAAAAATGAATGTAGATTATGAATTGGTTATGATTTACCAGTAGTGGTAAATCCAGCCTGTCCTGTCTCTGCTGTCGGTGTGTTGCAATACAGAAAGTTAGAGCTTCAGAACTGCTAGCAGTATTGCAGGTAGAAATGAGCATCAGTTCTAAAGAGCTACAGATTATAATGCTGGGGCAGGCATTTAAGAGAATAGAACATGATTTTAGATAGCTTTTCCCCCAAAAAATTAGTTTTGAAGCTCCTGTGAAACAAATATTGCAGACATAGTAATTTATCTGGGAAATCTAATTATGAGATGATTTTTTTTTCCTTAACAAAGCTTGAAATATTTGTGGTAATTCTATCACAATATCAGCTAGAGCAGTGAATAATTGCATGTCATTCCTTGCACAGCTGTTTTATAATGTGACATTTTGTGTTGGATACTACTATTACTGACATCTTATGACAAAAATGCAAACAATGATGAATTTGATACAAGTCTGCTGTTAGCTGGTATGTGCAGATGCTGGTCCTGGGTCCCATAATGAAAACTGATACATACTGAGAGACAATTAAAATGGACAAAGACATTATGCACATGTTAACAATATAAGAGCATATCTGAATTTACTAGAAGGTAGAACTCAATATGTTAAGATGAGCGGTAAATCACTAAGTAAATAGTTTCAGACTGAACAGAGGTAGATATGTTAGTTGCTGCCTTCTTCCACCTGTGGGTGACAACATGGGAGAAACTCAAATGTTTTCATTAACTCAAATGGTTTCATTAACTCTTTGTGTATGGTCTGTAGTCAGTATGGAGAAGATATTCAGTAAATCAGCTTGTCAACCTGAGTGTAACTTTATATGACGAATTACAGGCTGCAAATGTTCAGGACCTTACTGTTCTATAAGCAGAATAAAAACCATAGTCTGTATACCTAGCAATAATTCTTCAAAAATCAACTGTGACTCTTTGGGTACATCCTGGGAGATTATACGGATAGGTTTGTAACCTGTTACTAGAATTTACAGAGTTGCCCCAAATCACTTTGTGGTTCTTTAGGTCTAGAACATGGGCATTGGGAATGGGTTCAGACTAGTTTACAGTTCTGCATACGCTTCACTCATTTCTGAAGTTTCTCAGCAGAAAGTAAATGGTTAAGTCACTTAATTTGATGCAAAAATACTTTAAATGGATTAAACTGTGTATTCATTATGACTTTATGACTGGAAAAAAAAATCTTTTTTAGCTATCAAGCTCCCTGAAATACCAGGATGTGATTGAGGATGATGCTGTCTAGCATAGCTATATTACAGCCAGACTGCTGCTGTGGAAGGGTACATAAAAGCTGTGTCTCTGAAGGGTGCAAGTGTGTCACTAGGCTTTCCATTGCCAGCTTCAGATATGTAGCTGAACGTTTCAGTATTAGTTCTGAAGACTTGGGCTGTTAGATTTAACATGAAGAAAGTTTAGCTTAGGAGCCTTTTTTTTTTAAGATTTAATGTAAAATTGCTCATATATGAAAATGAATGGATGTGTTTATTTTTTCTTTTTAAGTGCATCAACATTCTCAAATTGATTTTGATGGCTCCAGCTGCTGCTAATGATCTCTCTGAACAAAAGAAAGGGCAATAGTACTTTAATAACATAGAAAGTTTAGAAGCAGATTGGTTGCAGCACTCTTGTGGTCTCATCACAAGGAGTGGACTCATCAGGAGCCAGTAAAAGTGGCTAGACTTTCAACAAAGAGAAAGGAATGTAAGTACAAAGATCAATTTAAAGTTGGGACAATAACTGAGGAGAGGGAGGGAAGAAACCCAGGAAACAGGAGGGTGATGTAGAAGAGAGCAAGCAGCTTGTGGCTGGCTTTCCCTTTGCTTTCCAGAAACAAAGCAGCAAATAAATGAATGATGTGTCATCAGGGTCGCTTCTTCAGCTTGGCACTTGCAAAAGGTGGGCATGGTGAAATGGAAGTGCTAATACTTGGCCCTGTAGGGTTCTCGGGGAAGCTGCAGCCCTCGCCTCGCTGTATGTGCCTATCCTGGGCACTGAACGTGATAGTCAGGCCTAGCTCGAACAGAAATTTTGACCTTTGGTAAAAGATATAAAATAATTAGTTTGATGGTTAGCTTTTATCTTTTAATTAATATTTAACAGTGTATTTTTTTTTCTAGAAGTCGCAATAAGCAACTTACAGAAGAACTAATGAGTGAAAGTTTTGATGAAAGATGTGTCAGTCTTCTGAAAGCACAAGGCAGACAATTGGAGAGCCAGGTAATAGTACGATAATACAGAAAAACATTACAATATTTTACAATACAGAAAAAAAATGGCTTTAGGAATGATTCAATAAAATATATTTGATGTACAGGAATATCAAAGATTGGCACTCTTTAAACCGAAGTAGGAACACTGTAGTGGTTTCCAGATCTTGCACTCCCAATGTATATAGCAGAAGTTGGAGGGAGCTTCTGTGACAAAAGGGCCCATCTTCCAACCTGGGCATGTACATGCAGCAGAAGCTGCTGCTGGTGCAGACCGGAATATGTTGGTTTCTTGCCATCTCCTGTGATCTGTCATTTCTCCTCTGCTGATAATCGACTTCATTTTTCAGAGAAAGGCATTTTTATCTGATATACTCTGTAAATATTGCAAAGATTTTCCTCATTATTGAAACTTTCCTTATACGTGTAGACCATACTAAAGTATAAACATAAATTGCAGAGAGGCAATTCAGCAGGATATTTAGAAAAGCAGGAGTGGGAAGAAACTGAATGAAGTTCATACTTTGGCCTTTCATAACCGAATTTTATTATTTGTATTTCTCTATGGTTGTATATATTTTTAAATATCAAAGTATCTAAAATGTACCAATGTTGTTAAGGCTGTCAATGTTTAAGGGCACCTCTGAGGCAAAACTTTCAAGTGGATAGAGTAACTGTTCAAACTAAATGGATATGGTTGCGAAAACGGACAAGCTTTCAGGTGTGCAGCCCTTCCTTGGCACCTGTATGCAAGGAAATGGGCGCTAGAAGAAATTTCCTTTTTGTTACAGCAGGATTTGGAAACTGTTGCACAACCTCCATTATTTATTACAGTAAAGACTGCAACCCTCAAACAGGGTTTTTTCTTTGTCTAAACTCGTTGATAATTTTAACACCCATTGATGGGGAAGGAGCTCTCTAGATTTTTTAAAAAGGAATCTAGTCCCCAACACGTTGAACAAATTGGACAAAATATTTGTATCTTAAGAAAACTTCTGAGTGTATGTACAAATATAATGTACCCTTGTGAATTTTAGGATGTTGTCACTCTTTTCTCCTCAGGCATTTATGAGAAACTGTTTTTTGCCAAGACTACTGGTTATATTGGAGTTTGGAGAGCTGGACAGAATTCTCTCTTATTCATAAGTCCAAGGCCCATTGGATCTCTTATGATCCATGGGTCGTTCCTATCTTTACGTACAGACCTCTCTTTATATTATGGAATCCCAATTTCTTAAAAAAAATAAACAAACAAAAAAACCCCACAACAATCCGCTATTCCCATGGCACCTTTGTAAAAGGTTATTTTTAAAGTTTTTGTTTTGATTTGTTTATAACTGCTTTTATATTTATATTAACAGTCTCTTACTACATATTTCACAAATAAGTATTAGAGACACTCAAACTAGTCTAGTTTATTTTTTTAATTTAAAAAGGAGAAAAAAGAGAAAAGAAAAAGGCAGAAAGCAACAATCCAGACCCAACTGTAAAACAAAACAAAACAAAAAAAACAATTTGACCAAATTAGAAAAAGTGCTTATTTTTATACATCTTTCTTTCCACCACCTCTCCCCGCCACTCAATATATTTAAGCGTACTGGAAAAAAAAACTTAGTGAGCTCTTTAACAAGAGGTCTTTATTTGCTCATTTCTCATAATAAAAATACCTAACTCAAGGAGACATCAGTGACGGTCTGAGTACTGAGTAGCCACTGGGTGGCTACTATGCCTGATAAAATAATAAAATTTCATATAGTGGCCATAGTGTGACACGCTCCTTACTAGTAAACTGTGCTGAAGTGATTTTTTTTCTCTCTCTGTTATGAATTGCATTATAGTTTAATTAAAAAAAAAGGCATTTTATATTATGTAAAAATAACAATTATTTGAACTCTGACAACCCACTTAGAAATGAAGCGATTCTCCTGTACCCTCAAGCAAAGTGCGTTAGACAAGTTTCAATATGATATCATCCTGTAATTAAATACTTCAGTATGAGACTCATAAAATTAATGTTTTTCAATTTGTATGCAAGTAAAATACAGAATGTCATGAGGATCTCCTTGACTAATTTCAAATTAGTGAAATTGTTATCCTTAATGTTTTGCTGAAAGCTGTTTGAAAGCTGGAATAAAAAAAAAAAAAAAAGAAGGAATTTTGAGAGGGGTTATAGACACTTCTTATTTAGAAAAGAGTAAAACCTGAACATCATTGAAGTTACGTCTTTTGTCTTTTTTATGTTGACTGTCTTCACATTAACTGAGACTTTTGTGCAGGGACTGAAAGTTATAGTATACAATATTTAAATAAATGATTGCTGCTATTATTGTTGATGTTAGTATAAATATTATTAATGGAAAGACATGATGCAACGGTGTTTTGAAAGACCTCTAAGTCAACACTTTCTTTAGAAGGAAGTTGTCTTTATACTGGCACAACTCCAGTTAAAAAGAAAAGTGTGTGTTGAAGGGGGAAACTAGGGAGGTGCTAAGGTGGTGAGATAGTTATGGAAAAGCAGGTTATTTCTGTAGCAGCCTGTCAGCAATGTATCACTAGCCAGACAAATATTTTCACAGCCGCTGTCATTTTGGATAAGTGGTGATTTTCTAATAGTTAATTGCATAAAATTAGGAAGGATGCTCATGCCAGCAAGGGGTCAGACATATGTGTGGAATTGTTCCTTAAAATGAGGAAAACAAGAGAGGCACAGGGCACAGGAATGCATCTAGGATCATAATTTTAAGATAATAATTTGGCTAGTGAGAGGCATTTACAAAATAAAAAGAAAGAAGTCCTTTCAGTAGTTAAGATTCCCTCTTGCCTGGGATGAGGACAGTGAACTTAAGAAGTCTGAAATGAAACTTTAGAAGAAGTCATGGCATCTATAACCCCAACTGAGTACATAAGAATAGAACAGTATGAGAAATGGGCAAAAGGCAAGTGATACAGCAAAAAAGGATAATAGAAGAAGCAGCGAGGGAAATTGCAAGTTGTTTGTATTGGTGATAGGTGAGTAATTTCATTGAAGAATGGGTTGTATTGTTAATCAGCTGTGGTCAGCAGGGCACTAATGAAGTACTTGTGTGGCAATGGGGGAGATAGCAAGACAGAGGAACCTGAACTGCTTGAACCCAAATGTTGAAGAATGGTGAACAAAGGGAAATAATGGCAGACATCTGGGATGATTTTTGAGGAAAATAGAAATATAGCTAAAATATATGCTTGTAATGTGGCAACTTGGGTTCGGTAAAGTCAGGAATGAGACAGTGAGGAGGTTCTGATGAGATAGTTCATGGAAAATGTAAATCACTTGGGCCAGATTTGCCAGATCTAAAAAGTTAGAATGACACTTTCCCCTCAGTATTAGGGAAATTTTAGCCTTTTAGATATGGGGGAAAATTGCAAATAATCATGATAGATGCTGATTATCATTTAATCAATATAGTCTTTTTTTAAAATTGATTTTAGCCTGATTTTAGGGAGTAGGGAGAATATCATGGAAAAAAATACTTCTAGGTCTTGGCTTTAGGTGTTCATTTGGTTTGACAAAGACTGATAAGCAGTAATACATCTTTAATGTTCTTAATTTCAAAAGGGCAAACAGTGAGAAATTAAGGATTTACGAAGCCAGATATGCCGTGCAGCCCAGATAATCAAGTGAAAGGGAGACTTAAAATTTCAAATGGAAATTCTTTTTGAAGCAAGGTAATCTGAAATGAAACTAAATATGCCAGAAGAATACTGACATGCAAAAGAATATTAGACGTATGGATGTGGGAAAGAAGACATCGGTCAAAAATCAAAGAACTCAATTTTAGGGGTGAAATGCTAATTGCCCAATGCAGTGTGTTAGGAATGAAAACAAATAGCAAAGGTATTTTTCAGCCATTTAGGTTGAAAGAGTAAGGTGGGAGGGTGGAAAGAGAGCTGCATGCAGTGAGAATTTAAATGGAGGTTGAAAATAATCCAGATTCGTTTGGGAATGAAATACTCTGCCCCAGCTTCCAGGAAGGGGGATAATGAGAAATAGAAATGGAAAATAAGTAAAGCACTAAAACTCGGAACACTAATGTGTGGTAATTGGCATTCTGTTGCTCTAGTGTTCTCAAGAAAGTGACACTTGAGAGATTTATTAGAAACCTAATGGATCCTTGCATTGAAGTGAGAAGTAGTATCGTATGACTACGAATAGTAAATGCATGAACCTTGTTGTAGGAGAGTAGAAGGGATGATTATTTGGATGATTATTAATCTGAAATCAATAGTGTGGAAGCTTGCTTCTTTTTTAAAGAAAAAAGAAATCTCTATACTAGTCGTTTAAGTGGAACTCTTAAGTATTAAACATTACCCACTTTCAAGCAGATAGTGTTTAACCTTCTTTATTTAAAATCCATGTTTCTAGACAGGACGTGTGTTTAGAACTAATGCATCGGTTTTAGAGAAATGCGGCACATGCAGTGCCACAAGGAGAGATTAATCTCTTAACAGGAAAAGATCTTTTAGAATAATAATTACTGTGTGAGTAAAGAACTAGCAAATGGGGAGATGGCAAAGGACGAAGCACAGATATCAAGTTAGTCGGTGTTTTTTAGTACCCTTTTAAGAGGCTGATCTGATGCTGATTGGATTTTCAAAATGATTTTTTGCACAAAATGAGAGAACGTTTCTAGATATAAAAGTTAATATCTTTTTTTAATGGGCTAAGGTTTTATACAGGAATTACATGACTTTGAGAACTGAAATAATAAACATGAGACTGTTTTGTTCCACCATAGCTAAACTGATGTCCAAAACTGAGCCCTGGCTTGTAACCCTAAGTCTGTGTTCACAGGCCTGTTCAAGAGCACACAAACAAGTTATTTTTTGTCTACTGCTTCACTTCTACATATGTCTGAGAAATGCATGAGATTTTATCACATCAGCTTTTGTTTAGAAATAATCAAAATATATCTGCGTTGGCCATGTCTTGAACTGCCATGTCTTGAATTGTTCTGATGCATCTTTATGTCCAGTGTGCACTTCCTCTTTGAATTGCGATTGCTCTGCTGATGCTTCTGGTAGAGGAGGCCTGAGAAGCAAGTGCAGTCTTATGTTGGGTAAATGTTGATTTGCCTGCAGTCATTTAGTAACACGTCTAGAACTTTCATTCAACACTGTCTATTGGTGCTTTGTGAGCACTTATCTTTCTTATGTGAGATATGTATTTTGGCCTGCTAATCTTAAATTTATGCAATTCCCTGCACAAACCTTTCTGCTTTGTCTCCTAATGTTCTTGAAAGTGAGTGAGTATGATCAAGTCTCACCATATAGCTGGTTCTTGCAATGGGTAGTGACACTTTGACTCCAAGATATACTGAATTGTGTTTATCTTTGAGTCTGGAAAAGAATGAGAGGTACCAATGTTTTGTTCAGTTCCTGTGAAATGAGAGTTTGATGAATGCTCTGATGAATTGTTTGTATGAAATTTCTTGTTTCAAACAGTGATATATACATTGTCTGTACAAGCTTAAAAAGTGCCAATGTGACGTAGACTGGTCATACATTTCTGGCACATACAGATATGATATAGTACCTACACAAATATGCTGCCCACCTTCCAGTCGTTTCACTGCTTCTTGCTGTGCTAGTTAGTTGCTTTGCTAATTTGTGCATTTGTGTGTTTCGTAATGGAGATGGTGTTTGGTTGTGTTTTTCAGTCCTCTTTCATGTGATCTATACTTCATTCTCATGTACCACATTATGGATTGTAACGTATGTATATGGTAAGTCTGGAGATAAGAGGCGCTTTGGGCTCTCCTTGGACTGTATCTGGTGCTCCCAGAAAGTGAATGACTTGTTGCCTGTTCAGGTATAGGTGAAACATATGTTGCTGTCTTTCACAGGGGGCAGAAATCAGGAAAAGGAACTGCTTAGTGGCCTTACTCTCTTTTGGGGGAAGAGGAATGATGAGGAGGGGAAGGAGCAGATTCATATTACTCATTTTGAACCGCTAAGATTAACATTGGACGTGGGCTTTGTTTTAAAAAAGACTGGTTCCTCTTTGGAGCTTTTGTCAGAGTAGGGTGTGAAGGCTTGTGTCTGACTCAAAGATCCATTTTTGCCTTACCATATAATGTTCCCATAGTGTGCACTGTGCGTATCGAAAGTTTTTAGCAAAATCTGATTACAGTTATGGTCAAAGCCGTTAGAATTGATTTCAGAAAAGCTCTTCCTGATGTATGGAGTTATATTTGGAGTTCTAGCTGTAACAGTAGGGATGAACTTACTGTGGTGTGCTAGAATATACAAAGCAGCGCAGTATCTCTTGCTACTTGCAGCGTAGGCAGATCGGGATATGCAGTAATGTTGACAAAATTTGGCCTAGACTGAGATGAATGTGTATCAATCTTCTCAGTTTTCCTAATATATTGTCTAAAGCAAAGTCTTAAAAACAAGTTAAATATAAATTCTGTTAAAATGGAGATTATTTTATCTGTAAAAATACAGAAATTAAATCTTTATTCTAGAAACATTAAGGTTTTTTGACAAAGATAAAAATTGCAGATGATTCAGTTTTCTCTATCTGGGCATTAAGCAGCTCATAACAGTTAACAAACTTAATTCTGTAATTCTGTAAGCTCAGCTGCGCCTATGAGAAATTGATTTCTCAGCAAGAGACGCAAATGTGCCTTGTGTCCAGCTTTAAAACTGCCTGTTCAGAACTAATTTGCTGCATTTTCAGAAATGTACAGATGCATATGGTGTTCATGTGCTAGGGTTTTTTTCATGTCAGCTATGGGCAGTAGGTTAATTGAGGGGTCAGGTGCAAGTATTGGAGTGTTAAAATTGCAGTGTTGCCATCATCCTTAATAAGGTGAAATGCCTTGAGAACTTGGCATAATACTTAATTGCTTGTAATAACTGTAGCAGGGTCATTGGCAAGCAGTCACACTTGCTGCAAAGCTGTCTGGTGCCAATCACTTTTCTTAAAAAAAAAAATGCAATGTTTGTCTATGTATTTAATATGATCTCTTTTTTGCCTATAATCACCCATACACGCACACATATTTAAAATCAGACATAAGTTTAAAATTTTGCTTTTCTTAAGCAAACGCTAATCAGAAAACAGATATCTCAAAATCAGTTTGAAGATATCTTCAACTGTGCTAATTTATCTTCTATCCACCTCTGATTTTTTTGCTTTAATTCTTTCCTCCTCTGCCTTCCAAGTAAAAAGAGACCAGAAATGAAAAGCTGTGTTTTAGGCAATCATAGCAACTTAGCATGTTTTAAGATTAATCACAGCAAATGCTATGTATTTTTTCACTTTTATTTTTTGCTTTTAAGATACTCATGAAAAATCAACTTTCAGACTGAAGTTTTCCATGAATTTCCTACTCTAATGTTTGGAGCAAACAAACATGCCATTCTGAGCAGGGAGAGAGCATGTGCAACCAGTAGGAAGTCTGGCAAGCAGAAGTGAGAGGAAAGAGCCAGTGCCACATTCCCAGGCGTGGTAGGTATTCCAGTACCCTGCTTGCTCCATCTGACCCGCCTGTGCACATGGAGTTCGTGACAACCAGTTTCCTCTCTATAGGGCAACACACACAGTTGTGCATTTGAAGAAACTGTTGCTCTAGCTTTTTAAATCGCTGCTGACAACTTCTTTCGTTCTCATTTTATGAGATCTCAGCTGAATAGGCTTAGAATGGTCTAAGAACTAATACTGAGCTGATGCTATAACTGTCCTTCTTGGACAAAGCATGTCCTGAAGCAGGAAACATTCCTCTTTCCTGAGCCCTTCAGTTAGTATGCACCTGCTGTTGTGCTGCAGAAATAGATGATATTTTTTGATGATGATATTTTGTTTGAACCTTCAGCTCATTTTTAGAGCCCTGTAGAGGACAGAAATGTCCTCTATAGGGCTCATACCACCTTGTCTTTTTTTTTTTTTTTTTTTTTCTCTCCATCTTATACCACCTCCTCTCCCGAGTCCAGTCCTGACCTTTTCTTCTCCAGACCAGTTTGACTGCATTGGTCCATTTTGTTGTTGCTGGCTCTCAGTCCCAGCTTGTCTCCATCTTTTTGCTCTTGGCTTAGCAAGCCATAGTTTTCACTTTATTACCAGATGTTTTCCTACTTCTCCCTCATGCCTCTGACTAGGATTCAGTTTTCTTCTCGTCTCTCCTCTCTGTATTTGACTCTTTCTTTGACTATTACAGGTTTCCCCATAATAACCTAATCATATCTGCATATCACTGCTATTTTTGCCCATCTCATCCATCAGTTGCTCACATTTTTCCATGTGTGTGGCTTTCCATCCTAGTTGTGTGTCCAGTTGGTGCCAGCCCTTTCCCCATCCTGCTTGTAGCATGAGCTGCTCTCTTCTAGTGAGGAATGCATGAGGTTCGTGAATTCGGCCTCTTGTCCCTGCTGGTGAACTCTGGGGGAGGATTAAGGAAAGAATACAAGAAACAGACGTGCTAAAGTGCTCCTTCCTGTGAAGCATTTGCTCTGGATTCCAGAAAGCTGTTAGGGACTTCTTGAACTGAAAGACTTCATCTGCTGTATAAAATCTTCTTCAAAAGACCTGTCATCCATGAGGTTCACAATTTACATGTACTTTGTTTCCAGTGTTCTACGTGATTTTACTTTTAACACCTGTGTTTAGGAAAACTAAGGAATCATTATGTTTATTCAGCTTTTCTACATAGTTCATGATGATTCTTTTGTGTTCAGTGCTCTTTTACCAGTACTTTGTCAAGCCTACTACAAGTCTAAAAATTGTAGTTTCTTTGACAAGACTGTTCCATGCTTTCTGTTATCTCTTATAGTGCCTTTTTTTCTTATCTCTTCACCTCTTCTAGTGCCATTTTTTTTCCATTCCCTCATTATTCCTGGCCTCACTGATCAGTTTGTTTTGTTTTAATTTGCTGTTTCTATTTTCTCTTGAATGAATTTCCTTGCCTATGCCCACTCTCAATGTTTTCTGGGCATTTGCAAGGAGATTGGTCTCTAACAGGGCTGTTTGGCCCCACGTAGCCAGGTGTTGCAGTTGCATGAAAAGTTCTGTTAAGCCCCCAAGTCCTGAGCTCACGCAGCGTCAGTAACTGAGATTTATTTTATGTTTTTATCAAAGGTGTGAACAGCATCAGAAGTTGAGAAACAAGGATAATATCACAGATATTTTAACACGAGCTGTGGCCCTTTATTTGAGTCTACCTACTTTGTGCAGCTAGGCTTGCTGCAGTAGCTCAATGCTGCTTTTATGCCAGGCAGCCCAGAACTGGGCACTCTGCTCTTGATGTGTCCCACCAGTGCGGAGCAGGAAGAAGGATCGTTGCCTGAAGCTGCAGACCACCATCTTCCTCAGGAAAGGATGCTTCCCAGGATGCTGCCTGGCTGCCTTTGCCCTAGCTGGCTCATACCCAGTTTGTCCACCACAGTCCTCGGGTTTGTTTTTGCAGAGCTGCTTTCCAGCCATTTAGCCCCAGTCTGTTCTGCTCTTACCAGAGAATTGGGTAATTCATCCCAGGTGAAAGATCTGGTACTTCCATTTGTTAAACTTTGTGAGGTTCTCCTCTTCTTGGAGGTACCTCTGAATGACAGTGTAGGCATCTGATCCATCAGACATTCCTGATAGTTTTGACATCAGCAAGCTTACAGATGGTGTGCTCTGTGCCGTTATCCAGGTCCTCAGTGAAGATCTGGCGCCAGTTTTGATTCCTGGAAGAAACCATTACTAAGTGGCTTCCAGCTGGATTGATGATGACTATGACCCTTTGAGCCTGGCAGTTCAACCAGTTTTCAGTCCATTTTGCTGTTGGTCTCATTCGTGATGAGTTTTTCTGTGAGGATGATACGGGAGATAGCACTGAAGCCATGCTAAAGTGAAGATAACCATCTCATCTGCTCTCACCACTGAGCATGTTATCATGCTTGGAGTAGCACAAGCTGAGAAGGCTCTCAGCTTGGAGTAGCACAGTTTCCCCTTTTTAACCCCCTGCTGACTTCTTCCAGTCACCTTCTTCTCTTTAATATGTTTCTAAATGTTTTTGAAGATTATTTGCTCTAATAATCCTTGATAAAGTATCAATAGAACAGTAGTGAGAATTTAGGAGCATGTGTGCCCAGTGAGCTGTTGGTTGAAGACATAATTTTTATCCTGTCCTGAGGGAATAGAATTGGGATCAAATTAAATGTCTGTACACTTGAGCAGATCTGACTGGGAACTGAAAAGTCCAGGTCTGGGAAGTACCCTTGTAAAGTCATCTTCAGCATTCATGGTATATTGGATCACTTGGCATCCTAATAATGGGGATTTTGCATTCTAATCTAGAAATAAAAACATTTTAGGTCACATCCCACCTCTGAGTCTTTTTCAGGAAATCGTGTTTGTGAATGAAAGAAATTAAGAAAGGTCTGTTTTAGTAAATGTTTTTGACATTGGCTCTCAATACGTCCTTTGAACTTTCAGATCTCTGGAGAAAAATACAGATATTAATACAACCTCTAGATAGCTGTGTTTTGAAATCTCAAAAATTTCCAAGAAATCACAATACTGCAGATAGAAAACAGTTATTGTGCCAGCTGGCAACCAGTTGATGACAGATCATTTCATGTTACTATTTCTTCATTTCTTTTACACTGTATTTTGAAGCACTCATGGAGTGTGAGCTGTAGCTGTTTTGTTGAGAGGAATAATTTTAAGCAGTTACATTTATTTTCTTTTTTCTTCAAAGTTTCGTACAGTAGGTACCTTGTTATATTGTGTTAATTGTATCTTAAGTGCATACAATTTTTATTCCTGTTGTTTCAGTCCTTTTCTTTAGGCAATTGATTTATGAAATCTTGGAGCTCTATGTTGAAAAGAAATCTGTTTGGACAACCTGTGACACTCCTGATGTCTGTCAGTGTAGATGGTTTCCATCTGCAATGTGTGCAGATTGCAAACTGGAATTTCCAAGTCAAAAATAAGAAAGCAATGTTTGAATGTTTGTGCTGCAATTCTTATGAGCGTCTCTGCTCATTTTCTCAAAATGTCTCCTAAATGTTGAATTAATAAAGGTTTCTATTGATATTTCCTGCTTTGTATTCCTATTGTGAAAGTGTTTGGAAATGAAAATCTTTGCTCTATCATGAACATACCGAAGTCCAAGATTAATATAATATGCCTGCAGCTGCTGCTATAGCTTTGATCCCTTACTGTTTCTCAAAGGGCAGAGCTGACCCACCAGCCCACCAAAAGTAGCTAGTCCTCACATCTTTAATCTGTGTCTTCTTCACTCTGAGACTGATCTGTAGAGAGCAGGGAGGGAAGCTGTATTCTGTCCTGTTATTTTTACATTGCATTTGGATGTGTGCGTGGCACTTTTCAAAGAGTACTGAGTATGTCGTCTTTGGCCTAAGCTGTATAAGACTTGAGACGTTCAGGTGAGATGAAGGCACAAGCTAGCACCCAAGTGAGACTTTTTGCTGGAGGCAGAAGGCCATGGGAGGATTTTCTAGAAAAACATGAAAGAACCAATTTCACTAGCTTTGATCTCTTAAAGGTTTGTTGTTGTGTCTCTGAAGAGCTATTCTTAATGTGCTTAAGGTGGTTAGACGATTCCCAATTCCCAGGGATTGGGAACCCTATTTAACAATCATTGACAGGCCTTGCCAGGAGGCTTCTTAACTGAAAATGGTGATACTGGATACGCTGGATAAGATCACTCACCATCCTATTCGTCTTGCACACAGTGGATAAACACCCACTTGTCAGAGACTCTTCACGCACAGGAAAGGACTTTGGATCTGCATGGCCTTAATAACGTGGATCACTGAGAAGATGCTTCAGTTTCTGGGATCTCAGTCCCTCTTCTATGTCTGCAAATGTAATTTGGTTCCACAGTTTTACTGAGTTGTTGAAACTGCATCAGTTAATAGAAGAAAAGCACGTGTAAAGCCTCTAGTTAAGAAGGAACAAGAAGTTTCATGTAATTTCATGTCCCGGTACAGAGCAGAGGAGTAGAATTTGATATGATGGTTAGAGGTACAAGGTCAATTTTACTGTACAGTCTGAATGCCCTTGTGCTGGAATGGGAGTGGAATATATCCCACTGGATACCTTTGTATCATTATGATACTTTTGCCTGTTATAGAAGGAGGTTGACAGATGAAGAAAATACATATACTTGCATCTCAAATAAGCAAAAACAAAGTAAATTTATCAAGTCTCTGTTTTCCTTAACTCCTGATATAAGTGTTCTCCAGGTGTCAGAATAGGCAATGTAGAAAGAGTGCAAAATGTGTGACGCTGATATGAAAAAGGGCATTTCTGTCTTCCTTTGTGTGTCAAGGGTGTGACCTTTTGAATATAAACGGAAACAAATTGC